TTTAACAAACCTTCTAATAGCATCATCTAATTCTTCTAATAACTCATCGTTTAGAATCCGGCCAAAATTCTGGACTAAATAATTCATTTTATATTTTTATTAACTACACGTTATTCCCATCTACAAATAGTATGAGATTAAATCATCTCTTTAAATTGAACCTGTTATCAGAGAATATAATATATTATGTTAGCAAGATAACGTAAAACGTTACCACATAACGTTTTTTTTTACAAACGTTATCTGTGATACATGATACATCACATCAATTTTTAGAATATAACGTAAATGCAGGTTAACGTGCACGTTATTTAACATTTATTTTATTTATAAAACATTTTTGTTTTGATACATCCATCCAATCACAGGGCTGATTTTTAAGATTCAAATTACGTCACAGGAGTACAGTTCAGCTTAATGTTCATTGGTTAGGCGGAAGAGGCAACCGGAGTAAGTCTAGGAACCGTGAACATAACCAAACTAAATTTGACTTATTAAACAAGGAAAGAGACTGTCTATCCTTTTTTAAAGTGGCCTCTCAAGATAGCACTTCCTGTCTAACAATATTTTTGTCCTCAATACCGTTTTGGCAATTGTCAGTCAAATGTCAAATGTGACAGAAAAATAAATAATTTTTTGTTTTCTTTCATCCAAGGTATATATTTTGTCTGGTTTTGTACATTTTGGGTTTCAAATTTTTTCTAAAGAAATATGAAAGACATTTTAGAACAAGCAATATTAGTTTAAGCAAATGACGAAGTTATAGAAGATTTAATACTAAATCATATTTTAAATGATAACATACAAAATGTACATTCGGTATTCAATTTGGATAGCTTAGAGCCTGAGCAAGCCAAATAGTATTTCGGTTTGAAAAACAGAACATTCCAGAGAGTTGACTTCTCGCATTTCTTTTACTAGTAAAAGGTCATCAGTGCTTGTAGAATGCAGCCTTTTTGTCGTTTTCACTATTTCCGTGTTTATAATTGATAAATATAATGAAATATAATAAAATATTTTATTTGTCTCGCAGATGCTTAACTAAGAAAACAGAAAACACGTGTTAACCAATGCATAGAGATAAAATTACAGATGCCAACTATTAACGTGAAGCACCAATTCGACTATTTGATAACTCTAAAATTACATATCCGTAAAACTTTATACCGTAAAAAATAGCGTTTACGTGTCAAAATAACGGAAGGATAAAATTTTACTTGATAACTCTCTAAATGTAATGATAATAAAAGGAAAAAATATGATCACGTTTGTCAAACAATTACGAACTCTTTCTTCAGTTCAGTTTATATTCTTCTAGGCATAATAGATAAAACATTCCACATGACCTTCTTTACGTCTACACGGGACACTGAAATCTTGAAGATATAATTATGTATACAATCGTGGACTCGTGCAATATCTATCTATAATATTATGTTAAATTCCAATTACAAGAGGCAAATGAGACAAATTCTGTTAATTATTTGACAGGGTAAATAAATATATGAAAACATACATTTTAAATGCATCTTTATGTATATTTTTTTTCCAGTTTTACTTTTAATAGAGAGAAAATAAAATGTGCAATCATATAATTCAAAGAGTGTCCAGTTTTAAATATCTTGGTTGCAATATTACTGAACAACTAGATCCAGATCAAGAGATAAAATGTAGAATCGAGATAGCCCGCACGACATTTTTTAAAATGAGGTCATTCTTCTGTAATGATAACTTGAAACTTCAACTTCGAAAGCATATGGTTAAATGCTACATTTGGTCAGTCCTCTTATACGGTGTCGAAGCATGGACATTAAAAATATCCACCATTAATCGTCTGGAGGCCTTTGAAATGTGGCTGAACAGACGTATACTAAAAATTCCATGGACGGCTATGCTGACAAATGTGGCAGTCCTTGATAGAGCAAATGCTGCTCGCGAGCTGCTTGATAACATCAAATGTAGAAAGATGGCCTATTTTGGACACGTAGTAAGGGGATACCGATATAATATTCTTCAACTTATTATGATGGGTAAAATATCGAAGGACGCAGAGGAATTGGTAGAAAGCAGGCCTCTTGGTTGAAGAATATCAGAGAGTGGACAGGAATAAAGAAAGCTGAGCAACTCTGATCAAATTTTAAAACAAAAGCGGATGTACTTCAGGTGAGTATAGCGAGAAATCGAAACTCTGTCCCAAGGATTCTGGGAGGGGGGACAAAAAACTGACGACGCGAAAGACGAAAAAACCTTTAACGCTCTTTATTTGTATCAAAAGACTTGCAGATGACATAGTAATTACAAGAAATATATCCACAAGAGTAGCCTATTTAATCGTAAAGCTAAACCGAAGGTGTAAAATAAAGATTATTCAGGTATACACACCAACAACGGACCAGCGCTACTGAAAGAAACAACAACACAACACACGATTATGTGCGGCGACTTTAACGCAAAGATCGGTCTAATGCAGGATGAACAGGAAACAGCACTAGGTAAATTTGGATACAAAGGCAGAAACGAACGTGAACAAACACTACTAGAATTTCTATTACAACAAAATCTATACCAGATGAATAGTTTCTTCTCTAAAAAAGATCACAGAAGATGGACGTTGAAAAGCCCAGATAATAAGAACAAACACTATATAGACTACATAATTATTGAAAAAATATATATATTCAACAACCATGTCACAGTCCTTAATAACTTTACCACAGACAGCGATCATAGAATGGTAAGAGCCAAACTAAAATTAGACTTAATAACAGAAAGATCCAAAATGATTAAGAAGCAAGCCAACCAATATGAAACGACCCAATGTATGTAAATGAATATCAAGGCAATATCAATAAAATCCTACAATAAAATGAATGCATGAATAATGTAAATGCCCTAAACGAAAATATCGTAAAAGCTATTCGAAAGGCTCAAGTAAAATGCTGCCATAAAAGACGCCAAGACGAAAAAATAACCATTGAAACAAAGCAACTAATGGAAACTAGAAAAAAAATCAAAGGAAACAAAAGCATTGGCGAAGAAGAACCGCGAAAAATAATCAAAGAAGTATCAAAAGCTATAAGGAAAGATTTAAGGAAATTTAAGAATGAAAAAGTCCAGCGAACTATAGAAGAAAATAAAAGCCAGAAAGTCCTGAGAAGACGACTAAACAATGGAAAATGCGAAATACACAAACTAAAGAACAAAGAAGTCCCCACATCAAATACAGAAGAACTACTACACATAGTTGAAGACTTCTATCAAGAACTATACACAAGAGAAGACCAAAAGAACTTGGAAGCTGCCGCATCACGCAAAATTATCAACCAGGGTTCAGAGCTCATCCCAGAGATGACACTAAGCAAAATCCAGGATGCAATGAAAATGATGAAAAACAAAAAAGCGCCGGGAGGAGATGGAGTCGTAATAGAAGCTATAAAGATGGGCGGAAGTGTCCTTCTCAACCAAATAAAAATGTTGTTTAACCTTTGTCTAACAGATTGTTACATACCAAATACATGGAACAATGCAGTAACAATTTTACTACACAAGAAAGGAGACAAGGCGCACCTAGAAAACTATAGACCAACAGCTTATTGAACCACATCTATAAAATTTTTACCCGAATAATTACGACAAGACTAGAGAAAAAGTTAGATTTCTACCAGCCCCGAGAACTAGCTCACTTCCGCTCAAAATTCAGAACAAACGATCACCTACAAACAGTAAAAACCTTAATAGAAAAGTCGCTAGAATATAACAGACCACTGGTACTTATCTTCGTAGACTTCCACAAAGCCTTCGACACTATGGAATTATACAGCATTACAACTGCTCCGAACAATAGTAGAACAGATTACCGGATTACAAAGTTAGTACAAACATTATACCAAAAGACCACAATGCGTGTAAAATTACATGATACCACCAGAGAAATTCATATCGACATAGTACTTATTACCGAAGATCTGAGTGAAGCACAACAAATGCTACAAGAATTAGAAAACGTAACTTCAACAATAGGTCTAAATATGAACAACAGTAAGACCAAATTTGTGACAAATTTAGTTCCCAGCGAACACCTAATCATCCAAAATCAAGTGGTAGAATTGACAGAAAAGTACATATATCTTGGTCATGAAATCAGAATAGGCAAGCACAACCAGACCTACGAATTTTAACGATGAGTAACACTTGCTTTGGCGGCATATGGTTCACTATGAGACATCTTTAAGAGCAACATCCCGATAGCTATGAAACGGAAGACATTTGACCAATGCTTTCTACTTCTACTTTTCTAAATTATAATATTTATCTATGACCAATGCGTTCTTCCTATTATAATATACGGAGCAGAAACTCTCACGCTCACAAAAACAACAGCACTAAAAATGCGAGTGGCACAAAGGCGCATGGAAAGATCAATTCTCGGCGTGACAAAAAAAGACAAAATAAGGAATCAAGACTTGAGGAAAAGAACAGGTATCAGTGATGTCGTCGAACGTATAGCCAAGCTGAAATGGAATTGGGCAGGTCACATAGCGAGACTGAAAGACACAAGATCAGAACACTGGCAGACCAGAAAACTAATTGACTGGCGCCCACGAGAAGACAAACGCAGTAGAGGAAGACCACCAACACGCTGGATGGACGAAATTAGACGAATATCCAAGAAATGGCAACAAGAAGCACAGAACTATGAAGAGTGGCGAAAAATGGGAAAGACCTATGTCCAGCAGTGAGAAGAGGTTACATGATGATGATAAAATAATACCAATAATAATAGTACCAAAAGAATTTTTTTCGTGAGATACTGAAGTTCCGGAAACAAGAGTCGGCCATTGATTTCGACTACTTTGAAGGCAAATATTTTATTTATTCATAGGCATAGGTTCAATCCTTAGTATATTACATCGTTGAGTTACAAAATCTTGTAGTTGTAGTTCAAATGGCCCGAAACTGCCATCTGTCAAAAGGTGACATTTCAAAAAGAAAAGTCATGACGTATATAAATAAATAAAAATGTTTCTGCAATAATATCTATATAAAAGCAACACATTTAGTTTAAACGCAGTGTCTATATTGTATGTAAGAAATACATAAAAAATTTAAATTTGAAATATTATTCTGTTTAATAATCATTTGTATGACGAATTGTCTCTAGAAACTCAGTAAGTACATTTATTTAAATTATCTAGGACAAGTAAAATGTTTGTTTGTCTTGGCTTTCATGTTTTCAGTATGTATCTTCAAATTATTTAATTTAAGAACAATTTTGAATATTTAATACTTAAACATCATAAGCAGACTGTTTACTTAGAAATGTAACAAATTTTTGTTCTTTTTAGAAAACCATGTCAAGAGAGGATGTAAGAGAACAAGTGTTAGAACTTATGTCCAGAAAGGACAAAATTGAGGCAGAAATTAAAGACTTAACATGTATATTGACACAAAATGGAGTAGGCATGAATGAACCCTTAGTTGATAGTCAAGGTTTTCCAAAAAGTTCTATAGATGTTTATCAAGTCAGACATGCCAGACACAGAATTATCTGTCTACAGAATGATCACAAAAGCCTTATGAAGCAAATAGAAAATGGTTTACATGGGTATTACAGCGCAACATCTTTAGATTCCAACTTAAACAATGCTGTTGCTATGGAAACTGACCCGAGCAATGCAGTAGTCCATACTGAACCTTTTGCTAAGGTTACTATCGTTAGTGATAATTCTCCAGCTTATTTTGCTGGGATAGATGTAGGTGATCTAATAGTTGAGTTTGGTTCAATAAATAAAACAAATTTCAAAGTTATCACTGATATAGGTACCTTAGTGCAACATACTGAAGGAAATCTCTTGAATGTTAAAGTTAAAAGGGGAGACAGGTTTTTCACACTTCAGTTAATACCTAAGAAATGGATAGGAAGAGGATTGTTAGGATGTAATATTGTTAGTTTGTAGTTTTTGATGTATGATAAAGATCTTTTTATTTAAATCAAGTAGTTTATTATCATTTATATAGATTGTAGGAAGACCTGTTTTTTTATAAGTTTGATATTTTATTGGAAATCTATTTCCAATAAAATGAAAGATCATGTTAGTCTTTTAATTAATACAAACTCGAGAAAGAGCATCTACCAATATTAAGGAATGTTAAAATATGAAATAAAACATGATTTTTAGAATAAAAATAATAATGGTACCAATGATAATTTAACTTCAAGGAATATGTGGTCAAAAATTATGTATGTTCAGCTCTTTTATATGGTACAAAAGCAAGAACCTTGAAAATACTGTATTAATTCCCTGGGCTTTTGAGATGTGTTATATATATATTTGGGCACTCAAAATACTGTGGATAGCTATGCAAACAAACAAAAGTTCTTAACATATATATATTTATATATATATATATATATATATATATATTATATATATATATATATATATATATATATATATATATATATATATAAATATATATATGTTAAGAACTTTTGTTTGTTTGCATAGCTATCCACAGTATTTTGAGTGCCAAATATATATATAACACATCTCAAAAGCCCATGGAATTAATACAGTATTTTCAAGGTTCTTGCTTTTGTACCATGTAAAAGAGCTGAACATACATAATTTTAATATAAATAATATATAAATATAAAATAAATTATTTAAATAATATATATATATATATATATATAATGAAAATTTAAAAATTAAGCAAAGGGAATATCTCATATATATATATATATATAATATATATATATATATATATATATATTTATATATATTTATATATATATAGATATATATAATATATATATATATATAATTTATATATATATTATATAAAATAGATATATATTATGTTATATATATTTATATATATGATATATATATATATAGAATATATACAATATATTTCATATATATATATATATATATATATATATATTTATATATATATAATATATATATATATATTATAGATATATATATAATATATATATATATATATTATATATATAAAATATTCCCTTTGCTTAATTTTTAAATTTTCATTTTCAATTAACATTTAACTGTAACGTCAGAATAACTACTAAATATAAACCTTATTATCATTATGTAGTCAGAGAACAACATAAAATCGCTGACATACGCACATCATATTATTTTAAGTTGCAATTAGTAATTAGATATACGCATTCTAAGCGGTCCGTTTATTTGCTTTTAAAACTTTGCTAAATATACGGCAAAATGCATGATTTAACTAAGCAATATTTTTTACTGATTTCTATGATTCATGGCATATGGTATTCTCACCGAAAAACAAATAAACTGTCGTTACTATAATTAAAATAAGATAAAATAAAATTACTTTAAAAAACATTAATTTAATTCATGTCTGTGGAAACGAAAATACAAATTATACAACTCTAAATAATTGTGCTTGTGTGTGTCGTGGCAACGCCGCGTTTGTATCGTCCATAAGAAATACATGGCCCTATCTCCGCAATGTTATTTTCTTAATGTGGAACTTAGTATAGCAAATAGATTTTAAAGCAACAGGTACCATAGGAATACACTGCATTCATACAATTTAAAAAATTGTTATTATTTTAACTTTTATGAATGTCTGCAAGTAATAGGTACAATATAGATGATGACCAGGAGTCAAGAATGAAAGTAGTAAGTGCAGCATTTTAGCATAACTGTGGGTTACTCAAGGAACAAATTCAAAGAACATTGTATATTTAAGAAAATTGTCGTATTTATTTTCTACAAAATTATTCCTAATTATTAACAAAATATCCTTAGATTGGCAACACTTTGCTAGTGATATGACGAGTTGGATTTTTTGTGACTCAAGTTCACTCGCCTTGGTGTCATAGCAGTGACCATTAGAAGGCACAAGACTAATTGTTGATATTTTTAAACAATTAAAAAACCAATAGTATAAATGCATTATTCATGACTGGCATTTTGGCTTTGCCAGTGCCATTAACCTAGGAAAAAAATGCATTATTGTTATGAATAAAAAATAGTAAGTATTTTCAATCAAATGTTTATTACTAGTAAACTTACAACATTTATATATGTATTACATACAAGTATATACAAGGTGCGGCAGATATATAGAAATATCTCGAAAACTAAAGGTAGCTGAATCATGAAAATTGGAATGAAGGGGTATTGAGGAGTGATCTATTTAATGAAAATATTTTCATATATTTGCCACTTAAAGTTATACCAGAAGTTGCTTACAACTTCGTTGTTTTAATGGGACATCCTGTATATTTTTAATTTTCGAAATATTTACATTATTCTGAACATTTTTTGTTAATACTTCCCTATACCAATTGTAAACCGTTTTTGAGTTATAAATGGTTTTTATATGAAAATTTTACGTTTCTACCATGTATATAAAGTTCAATATCCTCTAATCTAATGTAATTTGAATATAAGTTTAAATTCCTTATGAACTTATTAACCAGATACAGCATTATCGTTTACAGAATAAAGTTGCCTTTTTCGTTATAATAGGGCATCCAAAATTTTCGCCCAATTCCTTTCTTTTTCAAATGGAACACCCTATATGTGATTCATTATTTTTGAAAAATACGTTTTTCACTATCGATCTGTATTAGCATTCCCTATACCTACCTCTTGCAGTTTTCAAATAAATTAACTTTATACATTTTTGTGACAAAAAATTTATCAAGTGCCTGTGAAATATTCTGACAAAAATATCAGTTATTGCTAATGTGTAATAATAACCTTGTATGCCATTGGGTGACAGTTATAATAATAATTTGCCTAATTTTTTTATGATGGTTTTTTAAACTTAATTATAATTTACAGTGAGTGTAAGAGAATAATATCCAGAAATTGCTGTGTTTTTTTCTGAGAAGCCTCGACCAAATCACAAAATTGTAAAACAGTTGTTGGACCACTGTTTCCAGTTTGGTTAATTTATAAGTAAAATTACCCATGTCGATAATAAATACTTACAAATAGATATCATGGGATATTTTGCAGCTAATAAAAATTCATTCTTATGGTAATGTGAGCAATTGTTACAGGTATAGACTCGAACAATTCACTGAATTTTAAAAAACATCATTGCACCCTTTATCATATACACTAGCTCATCTAGTTACATCCTGGAGATTATGTAAGACGTGAGAATTTTGTGAATGGGTTTTTAGGAAATGCCAAGATAAAATTTTACAAAAAAATTATTTGGCGTGATGAATAGAAGTTTACAAAAAATTATATGTTTAACCGCCATAAAAGTCACTTCTGGAGTGACGAAAAGAGCGTTACTGCAACATTTTACGGCAAGTAATTGTACCAGCACTGCACGCTTTGCATAATAAGGCTAACGAAACTTGGTTTTAACAGAACGGAGCACCGGCTCACAATATTTGAGAAGTCGACACATTGCTTGATGAAATATTTAGCGATAGACGGATAGCTAATTAAGATCAGTTTTTCTAGTCACCAAGATATTGTTGTCTCCGTTGGATTAATATATTTGGGGTATGTTAAAAATAACCTGTTCTCTGAACCTGTCACTACTAAGGAAGCTATAATAAATAAATTCCTTCAAGTTCTTAACGAAATAGATGGAATATCATATCAAGAGCTTCTTCTTCCAATCTTCAATATCAAGAACTTCAAGAGTATGTAGGCTTTAAAGCCTGTTTCTTTTTAATTAAGCCTCCTAAATTGTCGAACTATCTTTTTCTTGATTTGCTCGGTCTTGTCTGCTATTCATACTATCCTCTGCCATTCTACTGATATGTTCGTTCCACTCCTGTTTTCGTTTTGTCACCCATCCATTTATGTCTTCTATATTGCATGCTCTTCTCTCCCTGTCCAATAGACTTCTCCCTGATATTCGTCAAAGTATTTTCATCTCTGTCGTTTCTAGCAGTCGTCTCGTTTTAGATGTGTCAGGTCTTGTCTCCGCCGTGTATGTTAATATAGGTCTAATTGCTTCTTTTTAGATTCTTATTTTCGTGTCTTGTCTTAGGTGTTTGTTCTTCCAGATTGTGTCATTAACAGAACCCGCCGCTTTACTTGCTTTTAAGCTTTGTTGTCGTACTTCTTCAACGTCTCCGTAACTAGTTATGTCTATTCCCAAATATCTAAATCTTGCTTCCTGCTTTATTATTATTATTAATAGATCATAAATATCAAGAGCTACTAATGAAAATCTGATTAAAAGAGTTCATTAGATTGGATGTTGATGGGTAACATTTTGAAGACACTATTAATTACATTAATAAGCTAGTGCCTATTTTCTTTGATATCATCTTTTTAATTGTTCAATGTTTAACCTACAATAAGAAAATTGTATAAAGTTAATTTATTTGAAAACTGCAAGAGATAGGTATAGGGAATACCAATAAAGATCGATAGTGAAAAATATATTTTTCTAAAATAATGAATCACATATAGGGTGTCCATTTGAAAAAAAGGAATTGGGCGAAAATTTGGGATGCCGATTTTATGCCAATTTTGACAGAACCCTATTATAATGAAGAAGACAACTTTACACTGTAAACAATAATGCATTTAATGTGGTTAATAAGTTCCTAAGGAATTTAAACTTATATTCAAATTACATTATAGGATATTGAACTTTATATACAATGGTAGAAAAGTGTAATTTTCGTATAAAAACCATTATAACTCAAAAACGGTTTACAATAGGTATAGGGAAGTATTAACAAAAAATGTTCAGAATAACGTGAATATTTCTAAAATTAAAAAATATACAGGTTATCCCATTAAAAAAAAAAGAAGCTCTAAGCAACTTCCGGTATAATGGAAGTGGCAAATAGAAGAAAATATTTTCATTAAATAGGTCATTCTTCAAAACCCCTTTATTCCAATATTCATGATTCAGTTACTTTTAGTTCTCGAGATATTTCTAATTGGCTGTTTATCTGCCGCACCCTGTATACCTTACACACTCATAATAAT